ACTATTGTTAAAGAAAGAGCAGAAGAGAGTAAATTCCCTCAAATTCTCAGTTTCTCTGCTTAAGTAGCTCATTATTATTTTTAAAACATTTTTTGTTGATAGAAAGCATCACAACTAGACTAGAATTCCACAACATCAATCTTTGTTTTGATTTCTGTAGTTCTCTAGGAAAAAAAAAAATAATCCCAAATCAAGCTACATGAAGCATTAACAATATTCAGATATTACAATGGAAGCACTTATTTATTACTTCATAGAACAGATTAGTTTTAAAAGTGTATTTACATGTTCTAAGTTATACAAAATACAGTATTCCAATAATCATGTTAATCACCATGTTTCAGACAACTTCACATAAAAGTGCAGAGGATGCATCCATCCATGATCCTGGCCAGTAGCGAGCGGTCACCCGCAGCGTGACAGATGAGAGCTGCTATCGTGCCCCCTCGGGAAAACAAATCCCACCATACCTTCTCACTGCGACACAGCTGCAGATCTAAGAAAACATTCAGGCAGGTACACGAGCAAAGTTTGTTGAGACCCACAGACCAAAAAATCACATGCCTTAATTTACTAGATGTATGTGAAGTACTATATTTTTTTTTTTTTTTTTCCATACAGGTGTTCTACAGCAAAGGGCTTCTGCTCATGCCTTAGTTGGGAAAAAGAAGGAACAAGGGTTTTGGCTATGTGACAGGCACCCAAATTACACTTAATATCAACAGCCTTGTAACTACAACTGATGGTGTGATAAGGACACAATTCTGCAGCTGACTGCCTGGGCAGAGCTTCACATTCAAGAACAGATCCTGTGAAGTCCACATGGTTCTCTACAGATACAGGGCTCATCCCACGCAGAAATGACAGCAGAATTGAGGCCTGAAAATATTGGGGCCTCAGATAGGAATTTCCTCACACCACAGCACTGTTAGTTCACATCAGCAGGTCACGTCGCAGCGTCACAGCGCACTTACTTAAAGCAACTACTATTTTTCATGCCTTTCCGCAGTAACTCTCCTCCCTGTCTGTATATTCCTTTCACTTTCTTCTGGACTGTGGAAGCGAGATCAAGAAAAGGAGATTCCCAAAACCTAAACAAGTACGTATCTTCTGTATGATGCTAAACTGAGGGGATCCAAACTGGCCTAAAATTGTAAACAGCGAGGCTTCAGTTTTAGCGATCTCGCTCCGGTCAGACTCGTGCACTACTTCTCTTCCTGCTTCCATTCTTTGTTCTCCTTGCCAAGTACCTATGTCTATCTACACGTGTATCTTCCTCTCAGGATCCCTTTTCCCCTGTAGCTGCTTGAACTTTAAAAAAGTTTTGCATTCCAAAAGCGACTCACTAGGGGTTAGCATACTATCAAACGAACAAATTGCATTCCGTACGACAAATCTGCATTATCATGAATGAAATCACTGTAACTTCTCTATTAGCATTATGTTAGCATCTCTACAGAAGTTTCGTTAAGCCTATTCTTTCCGCCTTTTTCCCTGCGAGTTTATCTATCTTCACCATGCTACAGCGGCAGATATACAGATCAGAGTAATTACCTCAACATCTAGAAAGCCAGTCAATGTCTCATAGTGCTGCAAAGGCAAAACACTAGCATTAACAAATGATTTTGCCATTTATGGATTTAGATGTAGGTTACCAAAAATATAAGATTTATCCATTAAGACAAACGTGCACTTCTCATCTTGTGCTTAGCAGCTAAAACCATGAGGATGAACAAAAAAAAGCCTATCTGGATTTTCCAAAGGTCTGAGATAACCTCCACTCTCACCAAATGAAGGCATCCGATCACAAGGAACAAAGCTCTGCTACGCTGAGGAGGCTTACAAGGCTGAAGCAGCAATATTCTCTTCCGTGCAAGTCCATTATTTCTGCTGTCTACACAAAAATATTTTTCCACACAAGTGGTTTTATTACAGTATTCCCAAAGCTGTTGGCCTTCCACTGCACCTCTCAACTTGAAATGAATTTGGTACAATTAGTAGCAGTCCTGCAGATAATGCTGAAAGTGATTACTACAGCGAGAACACCTTGGGCTTTCAAACAGCACAGCAGGGAAATGGAGAATTGTCAGAAAAGACATAAAATGCTACTAGAACTGCAAAAAGCCGCATTTAACTTAAAAAAATTCTCCTAGCACAAGTTTATAGTACACTACTTTTTCACCCTGTCCATGCAGGGTAAAAGGAAAAAAAAAAAAGGCAGAATTCAGATTATCTGAATATCAAAACTATCACTAACTGTGTAAATGAGCAAGTGATAGGACCAGTTTACCAACATTACACCTACAATCTGAGATACATCCACCTGATCCCAGCACAGAATGCTCCAGAGTAAAGCAAAAATGCCCATGACTCCAGTGCTTGCTAAAACTTTACGATAACCACGTGACAGTAAAGACTTTTTCCTGTGGGAGTTAATGAGATCTTTGTTACTGGCTTCAGTGGGAGCAGATCTTGGCAACAGGTAAAAGATTAAGCTTCTAGGGAATTTTAAAATACAAAACCGCATTATTATAGGGAGATATAACTACGTGTAGATTAGAAAACCATGTACGAAAGCAATACTGTATTAAATGTTTCGCATCATTTATTCATAGTCTGTTTCTTCTGTAGAATAAGACAACACTCATTGCCCACAAATCTCATCAACAGTTTACGTATTTTCAAAGTTAGTACTGTGAAATGGCCGTTTGGTGTCAATCCACTTCCAAATGAATGTATAGCTGTGCACGAAACTGCTCCCTTTACTGGCAATCCCTGCAGAGATGCTGAAAGGTATTTATTCTCCCTTTATTCTCTCCCCTTGGAGATGGTCCCTTTATGGCTGGAATGGGGTACGCTGGCATCAGGCACACTTACGGCCTCTCCAGAGCACGTTCCAAGGCTAGAGAACTTCAGGCTCTAACAGTGTCAATTCAGCATCTTTTAATGTTCAAACTGAGCTAAAAGAATATTGGTCTTCTTACGACCACTACAAAAACATACCCAAGTTGACACTTATGGATAGGATTGTCACCCTAGTCAAAGAAACAAGATTATAAATTGTTCTGAGAGGAGCAGAGAGCTCTGAAGCACTAAGCTTAACTTCCTGAGACTGCAAAAACTGAGAAAGGAATTCAGCATTGCACATCATTTTTTGTCTGGCAATACCTACAATCCTTTAAATAGTTACTACCTTCTCATCTATCTTTGAAGATGCTGCTTCTTAACAAAATAAAATTCTCCAACTACAAAAGTTAAGCTGCACTCACCCTAAAGTGCAATTTTCCAGTTTTACAACCTGTAGACACATGAATCGCAGAATGTGCAAGTTTGCACTGTCCTACGGGGAAGCCGAAGAGTTTGCCAACAGTCTTCCCTGAAAGAAAGATCTAATGAACATTCACTGTTAGTTTCCGTTGTGTAAGCTTTTAATACAACAGAAAAAGCTAATAGAATTGCACATACTAACCTCACTGACTGAGTATTTTGCTGTCAAAATACCATGACATACTGCAAAACCAAATCCTGTATACAATATGGAAGTATTTAAAAGATATTCCTAAAGCAGTAAAACAGCAAGACCCAAATGAAGGACTAGCAACTCCTTGCCCAGTTACAATACCCTCTAGCTTAATGATTTAAACAGGAAGCATGACTTTCAAGAACAGCAAAAGTTAACCGAAAATTTAGAAACTATAAATGCAAAAAGAGTTGCTACATTTACATGCTGTCAAGGTTGGTTGTTTTTTTTTTGTTGTTTTTTTTTCTTTTTTTTTTAAATCCATGATTTGGCCTTTATCACCAAACTAAAACAACAAAAACCAGTACATACCAAAAATATCAGTCCAAATCAGCAATACTTGATATAGATACATGCTAACATTTCAGCAACATGGAGCTAAACTATTCATCTATTTGAAGAGAACACCCCAAGATTACCTCAGAGCTTTATAATCTCAAGTTATAATAATACACTCAGAAGTATACTTTTGTAACCAGCAAAAAAGTTAAAAGCACTTTCTTGACTTCTGAACTTGGTCCATCAAAAAGAATAGGTCAATAACTACATTTAATGTATATGCTCTTCACAAAGGTTATGCCTTCAAAAAACTGGTTATGAATTCTGGGGTTTGAGATTATTATTATTTTTATTAATTGAAGTTTACAACATTAGCTGCTACTTTGCACCTTTTTGCCTTTCTGGTCTGAAATTAGGGGGGAAATAGCTTGGGTAAATGCAAAACTCAAAATACATGTTCAACATGATAGTGTTAAGCTTTGCTGGTAACTAGTTGTGCCTCATAATTTTGGCACTTGTGCTTCTGAAAGCTTTCAAGATTATTTTTTCTTGAGGTGTATGCTGTTTATCAATCTCCAGGCATGAATACACTCCATTTTGACTACAAGCATGGCCTTGTGCTACTTCCCAGAAGTTAAGTACTCTTTCTTCCCACACAAATTTAGCTCTTAAGCTTCCTTAATATAAGAGTAGATTCTTGTTATGCTGATGGAACTCTTACAAAGGAACTTCCACCTACTTCCTCCATCTTCCACATGCAATAAACATCCCCGCAATCTGTCCAAGCTTTCATCTACTCTCCCACACCAGCACAAGGGTCTTGATACTTAAACATCCCCTTTTCAACTGTGGGAAATCACTGGCTGTTTCAGTTTCTTATAAAACAGATGAACAAAGTACTCTTTCGCCACAAGAGTTCTCATGTAGTCAAGAGAGAGAAAATTGTAATATAGCAGCTAATAGTCATTGTTTTGCTGGAGCTAATACTCATTTGGTAGTTTCAGACTGCCAAAAGACATGGGGATCAGCAGCTCAGACTAGCACCTTTTCCACGACTGCGAAATCATTAACAGAAGAACAGATCTTGTTTCAGCAAGATACCATGAAAGAAAGTGAGCCTCACAAAAGGAAAAAAAAAGAAAAAAAAAAAGGAAAAAGCAGGTTACAGCAGCGTAGCTGTGGAGCAGGAAAGCCACCAAAGTGTTTTACTGTTACATGGGCAATTTGATAGAGGTTTCTTACTACTCTTTGTATGGCACGCTGTGGTGCTTTCTGGATTGTTTCAATATATCTGCTGTACTTTTCTGCACTGGAAGTCTCACACATCACAGGCTTCTGTTTTCCTGGTGCCGTTAATTCTGCACCCACAGTACTCCACAAGATGCTACGCTGTACCAGAAATGACCTGCAGTATTAAATAAAATTCATTCTACTGCAGGGAAAAGAGTCTTAAAATATAGCAGTTCTTAATATTTACAGACACTTTCATTTAAAACTCCCTATTTTCTTCCACTCGAGTGCAAAAACAAAGAGTCACTATTCACACAGGCTGCCAACAGACTTTGAGACATGAACTTTGAGTGTCTTGACAAAACCCCAGTAAGTAAGCTTATTGTAGTTCATAGTAACAGTGAGAAAGACAGATAAGAAAGCCATATACAGAATTAAGGAGACTTTGCACTTTTCATCATGCCCAGCCCTGGGTAGTTCAGATGGGGTACTTGCAGGCAAGCAGGCAGGCAGGGTCATCGTCAGTTGTTTGTGTTGGGACACCTCATAGATTTCACTGCTCACTCTGAAGACTGGCGATTCATGTGTGCTTTTTAGTTTCTTTGTTTTTAAAAGTCTTTAAAGTTGCATCACTCGGAATCAGATAAGTCACTTTAAACAAAGCAAAGTGTTAAGTGTGACAATTTATTTATAACATACTTCCCACCATCACCACCACACACCACCCTGTGAAAGAAAAACCCCTGCTGAAAGGGTGACAATTTTTAGTATGTTTGAAAGAAATTAGACCAACACTGCATCAAGAGCCACTCTAGTCAAATTAAAGAGCATAACAGAGGGGGAGATGGTTCAAAGCATACATTTACTTTAAGCGTTCTGGATTAGCCTGCTTCTCCACTTTCTTAAGAAGTCAACACACAATTGGTCTAAACTCATACCAATTTCCATGTTACGTTTAAAAGACAAGCTAGGCAAGAAGTCTTTAGTACAGAAAAGAAACCCCAATGGTTTTTTTTAATATACTTTTCAGATTTCAATAGGGGAACTGGAAACTAGCCTAAACATCTTCTATCCCACACTTACTCCCTAATATAAATATTAGCCCAGGAAGCGTAGCCTAAGAGTTCTGACACAGCCACTATCTTAAGATAGCTTCTCTTGTTAAGAGGACTTCTAGACGTATACTTCCGTTAAAGCTTCTGGTTCTTGCAGTTGTAGGTCATGTAGAAGGTCCCAACATCACACACAACATATTTTTTCTTTTAACACCACATACTGTTGAAGCAGCGCTTGGTGCTGAGAATGGATTACTTCCAAGAGGGCAAGTCTTGTGTGCTAATTTTATAACAGGAAATGTGCTGGAGAGAGAACCAGCAGGCATGGAGAGACCAGATATGCCGCTACACAGGAGATAGTGAGGTAAACTGTTCGTGTTTAGAGTGGGTGTAGCTTGTTCCATAGAGTGTTCACGAAGCAAAGGACCAAAACGCTTTTCTCGAGCTCTTGTACAACAGGTAAGGTGGAGTAAAGTAACAGTGGCTTGTTTGCTTCTTAAAAAAAAAAAAAACAAAACAAAAAAACCAAACACTTTCTTCCAAAGCATAAGGTACTGGCCGTTCTTTAACAGATGGGACTCAAGGTTCAGCCTAATGAGCCAGACCTCTTTTCCTAAATCTCCCTTACTTCTCAGTTAAGTGTAACATGCTGCTTTATCAGCAGGTCAAGAGGGAAGTCCCTCTAAGGAAAAAATAAAAATAAAAAATATGGAGGGGTGGTGGTAGAAATACAGCCTAAAACCCACAGCAAATTATTTTGTCCGTATCTGTAAAGTGAGAGATCCCCTACTGTTCTCTCTCTCCTTGGTTTCTGGAAGTTATCCAGGATTAGAACCTGCCAAGATATTTGAGCAGTATTTTAATCAACACTGCACTGACCCTGGTCTGGATAACACTTGTGCATTAACCTCGAGATACCTCAGTTTTTATGAGAGATTGAATATTTTCCTGTCTTCCTGTCCTAAAGGTTCCCCTATTCCTCTTCAACAGGAACAGAGTTCTATACAACAGGTACTTTCTAGTGCCTCTGAATGGGAGACAAAACAACTTCATGATGCTGCCCAGCAACATCTACTTGTATCTTAAAATTATGTTTTACAGTTTGACTGGGAGGGGTGGGTGGGGTGAAGAGGGAGAAAAGAGCCGGAGTTTAAAAAAAAAAAAAAAAAAAAAAAAGGCAAAAAAAAGCAAGGAGAGTCTCCTAGGCTCTTTCTCCACTTAAAATGGAGATTAGAACAGATAGCAAAAGCCCTGTCCAGTCAGGAGGGATCCACATCTATTCCTCCAGACAGGTGAATCTGTTCTATTGTATGACATCAGAAAATGCTCTATCAGTGTTAAAAACAAAGTTGTAGATAGGGACACTAAAATTTTGGGCAGCACAATGATCAGGAAAGGGCCTGAACATGTTGTGCCAACAGAAACAGGGTTTGGTTTGGGGTTTTTGGTGGTTTTTTTTGTGTGTGTGTAGATGCAAAATGGCAAAGCCTCCACAAACTTTATTTCTGAGAGTCTCTGCAGAAGGCAGAGAAGTCTAAGAGGCTAAAACAAGGAGCCCTAACAAGGAAAAGGGGTGTGCTTACAAGGGTCCGTATCTGGTCTCGTATTTAGAAACAATGTTCTTGCATCGTCCCACTTCCTTGCGCAGCTCTGCAACCTCCGTCCTCAGGGCTGTATTCTCTTTCTCAAGAAAGGCTGCCCGAATTGTGATCTGATTCTCCTTTAATCGCCGAGCATCACGGGAACGCTTTGCTGCCACATTGTTCTTCTTTCGCCTTGTCCAATATTTTTCGTCCTGTAGCAAAAAAGGGGGGGCGGGGGGGAGAGAAAAAAAAAAAAAGATGGCAACCTGACAACGATATCAAATCGACACCTCTTTATTGTGTAATGGCATTCACGCTGACTGCTATATTGAAGAATCTGCTTCATTGGTTTGCAGGGCTCCAACACCAAAACGCAGGCAACACAGTACCGTTAAGATTTCATCTTTACCCAAGTCTTGTTTTAGGATAAACCAAGTACACTGCTAGAACTAGGGAGATTAAAAGACATGGCTATTAAGAAGCTGTCCAAGTGAAATACTCTCTTTACTTAGTTTCAATTCGGGAATAAAATTCCACAGAAGACACCCTGTTCTGTTGTCTGGGCTACTTAAAGCCGGACCAGACATAATGCTGGGCAAATACATACAATGGCCTTCAAAAGTGCAGTTGGTGAGGATGTGACTTGATAGTTCATTTAATTTCTGTGTTGCTCCTGCCCAGTAATTATCTCATGATACCAACCCAGCAAAACAGCAAGAACAGCAGTTGACTTGCCAATTCCATTCTTGGCAGTGCTTCTGCCCAATCACGTAGGTATAGCGCATTAGCTTTGTACATCAAAATGTTTGGACAAGGAGTCAGAAACTTTGATCAAGGCCTAGAGAAGTTTGCAGCAATAAATCTGTTACCTTTTGCTCATCTGGGACAAAAACCTTCTTGGCTTTTTTAATCATTGGTTGTGGTTTCAGGTCCTCTTCAGTAAACTTGTGTTTGCGAGGATTGAAGAGCTCACCACCAGGCACACTGGACAGTACTAAATCAGCAGGGTCAGGGTTAAAATTCACCTCAACTTCTACGCAGTCAGGATCAATGGGGCTGGGAGTATTTCTCTCGTTTTGCGGTGGGGACTCTGGCAACAACAGGAGAAGTTACAATACATTCCGCAGGATGCCG